ATGAAAAGCTGGGGATTTGAAATCCCTGCTGCTTTCTCTCCTCTCAGTGCAGGGATGGCAGTATGGGCCAGATGGCTTTTGATTGGTCAGCACCGTTTCAGAAGCCGTCTAGCCCATACTATCATCCCTGCAAAGAGAGAAAAAGGCTTCACAGATCAGGGGATTTGAAATCCCTTTGACTTTCTCTCCTCTCCGTGCAGGGATGACAGTACAGGTTACATGGTTTCTGATTGGTTAGCACCATGGCAGTTCTCTGCATTAAGGTAAAAACAAATTCTGTGTGCAGTCCCAGCCCCTTGATCCAGCGGCTCTCTCTGCTCTCTCCCTACACTATCTGCCATCTCCCTCTTCCTCACAGGACAAAGAGGCAACAGTGGGACCCACTGCTCTCAGTCAAATACTGTGACAAGACAGTGTGGGCCAAGCTGCCCTATCTTTGTCAGTGGACACAGGCAGCGTGGCTCAGGAGGGAGTAGGAGTGCCACAATAGGAAGTGGCTTCTTGTGGTGACACACTGAGAAGAGGAGGAGCCAGGAGCATTGGTTGGAGACCCTGGAAGAGGAGGACTGGGAGCAGGTAAGTATAAAATGTTTGTTATTAAAAAAAAAAATAATTTACTGTCACTTTAAACAAGTTGCTAGTAGGCTTCAGCACTAAGGATGAGGTTCAGGTTAGCAGTAAATTCTGTATGTTAACTGACCCAGTGAACTAATGTGGGAATTCATCATGCAAAGTTATTTGTACCCATATTACTTGCCTTTTAACGTAGGTCAACTTGGCAAGAGCGCAAGCAAAGCTGCCCTTGGTTTGTAGAGTGGATATAAAAAGGCTACACACCCCTGTTAAAATGTCAGGTTTCTGTGATGTAAAAAAATTAGACAAAGATAAATAATTTCAAAACTTTTTCCACCTTTAATGTGACCAATAAACTGTACAACTCGATTGAAAAACAAACTGAAATTTTTTAGGTGGGGGAAGTAAAAATAAAAAAGTAAAATAATGTGGTTGCATAAGTGTGCACACCCTCTTATAACTGGGGATGTCACTGTGTTCAGAATTGGGCAATCACATTCAAAATCATGTTAAATAGGATTCAGTACACACCTGCCATCATTTAAAGTGCCTCTGATTAACTCCAAATAAATTTCAGCTGTTCTAGTAGGTTTCTCCTGACATTTTCTTAATCGTATCCTACAGCAAAAGCCATGGTCTGCAGAGAGCTTCCAAAGCATCAGAGGGATCTCATTGTTAAAAGGTATCAGTCAGGAGAAGCGTACAAATTAATTTCCAAGATATTAGATATACCATGGAACACAGTGAAGACAGTCATCAAGTGGAGAAAATATGGCGCAACAGTGACATTACCAAGAAATGGACGTCCCTCCAAATTGATGAAATGACGAGAATAAAACTGGTCTGGGAAGCTGACAAGAGGCCTACAGCAACATAAAAGAGCTGCGGGAATATCTGGCAAGTACTGACTGTGTGGTACATGTGACAACAATCTCCTGTATTCTTCATATGTCTAGGCTATGGAGTAGAGTGGCACATCTGAAGTCTCCCAAAAGCATGTAGGTAAATGTGTTATGGTCTGATGAAACCAAGGTTGAACGTTTTGGCCATAATTCCAAAATATATGTTTGGTGTAAAAACAACACTGCACATTGCCAAAAGAACACCATATCCACAGTGAAGTATGGTGGTGGCAGTATCATGCTTTGGGGCTCTTTTTCTTCAGCTAGAACTGGGGCCTTAATCAAGGTAGAGGGAATTATGAACAGTTTCAAATATCAGTCAATATTGGCACAAAACCTTCAGGCTTCTGCTAGAAAGCTGAACATGAAAAGGAACTTCATCTTTCAGCATGACAACAACCCAAGTATACAACTAAATCAACAAAGGAATCGCTTCACCAGAAGAAGATTAAAGTTTTGGAATGGCCCAGCCAAAGCCCAGAATTAAGTCTGATCGAAAATCTGTGGGGTGATCTTGTTCCTTCAAATAATTTCGGACCAAAGCTGTATACTAACAATCAGATTAACATACGATTGCTTTGAAAGCGGTATTTTGCATACAATTTTCTGATTGTGTGTACTAGGCTTTAATAATATGTATCCAGTTACCTGGCAGGTGGTACCTAAAAACTTATCTAGCAGCCTCAAATATCACAGTACAAGCCCAAACTGACCTTTTCCTTACCATACTATTGTCACTTTGTGGCCTGAAGCCAATGTCTCTGCTCACAAACTGGTGTTTTTGTGAATTGGTATCTGAGAAGGAAAAACAAAGTGCTACAGTTTCCTGTTATTTATTGTAACATATTTATTGAATCTGTAAAGGTTGTGGTTTTGTTTTTGTTTTGTTTTTTGTAGAAGAAACTCGCTTCTAACCTACCAATTTGTCACACGTCTGACTTTTAGAGTTGTAAACTCAACACTTTTCCTATAAAACTCCTCTCTGCAGATGTTCTTTGGTGCTTTCAATGCATTAGTAGCAGCAGTTACTGTTGTTAAGGTTAAGCTCCGTAAGCGTTATTTATGTTGCAGAGGTTGGCTGTTGATCTTTGTGGCAGGCCCACAGTGCATTATTGCTATTATTTATTGCTAAATGGGCACAATATATATATATTTTTTTATCACAAAGTGTATTTGTGCCCATTTTTATAGAGCCAGTCCGATAAAAAGGTGATTCTCCATTCTAAAGGACAAAGAAAAAAACATTCTTCCAGCAGGCAAATATAAATTGCTTCCTAATTAGTATGGAAAGGTGCTGTGACACTGTCCACCTAATAAAATGTAAATTAAGAATGCTAGCAGGAAAAGTATTTCACCAATAAGACATACCAATAATAGGATGTACAGCCTTGTTCTGCAAACATCAGGGCCCATAAATCTGGATTTTCAGAAACCAGGAAAGGTAAATTCTGTGCAGACCCTGGTGTGCAGTCTAGGTTTATATTGTCTCATTATTAATTCAGAGCTCTATATTCTGTAGAAATATGTCCTGTGACGTAGACAGATGGTTAATCCCTGGCCCCAGGTGATTTAAAACTTTGAAAACAGATGAAGAAGAAAAAGTAGATGCTGCAGTAAGCTTGGGAAAATTCTGTCTTTAGTGCTGGCCTGTACAATTTCTTCAAAATATAAGAAGGCATGATATGTTTGGACCCCAGCAGTTTTCAGTAGAGCAGTTATGTACAACATTCTACACTTATAACATTATATTTTTCATCTATGCATTCTAATTACCGTATTCTTCTAGTTCAATATACCTTACAGTTGTGCTCAAACGTTTGCATACCCTGGCAGAAATTGTGAAATTTTGGCATTGATATTGAAAATATGACACTGACCATGCCAAAAAATGCTTTTATTGAAGGATGATGATCATATGAAGCCATTTATTATCAAATAGTTGTTTGGCTCCTTTTTAAATCATGATAACAGAAATCACCCAAATGGCCATGATCAAAAGTTTACATACCCTGGAATGTTTGGCCTTGGCACAGACACACAAGGTGACACACGGGGTTACAACGCCAATTAGAGGTTAATGTCCCACATCTGTGGCTTTTTAAATTGGAATTAGTGTTTGGGCACTATATATATCTCGTGGTGGCACAGTGGCTTAGTGGTTAGCACTTCCGCCTAGCAGTACTAGGGTCGTTGGTTCAAATCCCAACCACGGCACCACCTGCCTGGAGTTTGCATGTTCTCCCTGTGCCTGCGTGGGTTTCCTTCGGGTACTCCGGTTTCCTCCCACACTCCAAAGACACGCAGGTAGGTTAATTGGATCCTGTCTAAATTGTCCATAGTATATGTATGAATGTGAGTTAGGGACCTTAGATTGTACACCCCATGAGGGTTAGAGACTGATGTGGATGTCAATATATATATATTTTGTAAAGCGCTGCGTAAATTGACAGCACTATATAAGTACCTGAAATAAATAAATATATATACAGTGGGGATCAAAAGTTTGGGCACCCTAGCTAAAAATTTGTATTCATGTGCATAAAGAAGCCAAGGAAAGATGGAAAAATCTCCAAAAGGCATCAAATTACAGATTAGACATTCTTATAAACAAAAGTTGTGTGTATATGTATATATATATATATATATATACATTTATTTTATTGGTTCCCCAGGAGATCTATACCAGATGGCACAGTTTGCCAAATTCAGCCTAAGATTTTTTTATTCAATATTTTTTTTAATTCACCCTAAGATTCAGTGGGGCCACACCACAACTGTAACTATGTGCAATGCACATGATTGCAGTGCAGTAGTGCTGCATTAGACGCTAAAGAACACCACCTTGCCACCTGTCAAATGACCTCTCAGAAGCAGATGCGGATCTCTCTTCATGGGGCACAACATGAGTAAAAGAGTCCTACGTGATTAAATCAGCTGCTGAAAGTGCTTTAGAAAATTAGGCTTTAGTGACACTTCAAGCAGAAAGCAACTTGCTAAATCTATTATGCTGAACTGTTGAAAAACTAAAATAAGATGAAAATTATATATATAATTTTTTTTTCATGGGGTACTACTTAAATTTATACCAGGCTCAAAGGGTGGGTCTGGCATGTGTTTTTCTTTTGGGGGGGATCTACACTTGTGACCAGTGTACACCCCCACCCCACGCAATTTTTTTTTTTTTTTTTTTTTTACAACCCTTGCCTATTAGCCCAGAAAATTGGCACTTTTAACAGATATGGCTCCCATTAATTTCAGTGGGGCTACTGATCTGAAGTTCACCAGACCCTGCTTGAACCAAACCAAGGGCAGTTATTAGTGTTAACCAAAAAACATTTTGAATAAAGGCCTAGCATATTTATGCAGAAACATAAACTATCCCTGCACTGTACAACAGCTCCAATATCAAATTATTATTATTGGTTTAAGGTTTACTTTATTCATTTGGTAAAAACAATGAAAACTGCTGATTTGCATAGTTTATGGTGTAACAATAAATATATATTTTTTTTTTTTCTCTTACAGGTCATGGTATTGTTGAACCAATTCCACTGAATATAAAAACAGGTTAGTATTTTTGTAACCTACCTGCCTATTTTTTTGTAATGTTTACATTTATTTAAGTGCTTTGAGGATGTGCAAAAGTTGACCACTGTTTCTAAGGATGTTGTCGCCAAGTGATTTTGCAATAGCTACACATTTGTTGCTCTTTAGTGTTTTTGTTGCTAGGAAAAATTGAATTGCAGTCCATCAACAATCTGTGCCTCAGCAGTTTAAATGGTTTGTACCTTAATACTTGAGCGTTTGAAAGTAGCTGAAGCTTCTCCAGCTTCATTAGCTACTAGCTTACTCCAAAACAGTTGTTGATAACCAGCAACTTTTCTGTAGCTATCTACAATTATCTAGTGAAAATCAGAGATTTGTGACTGCTACAAATCTCTGCTACACAGTTGCGGATGTGACAGTTCTCAAATGTATATTAAACTGATGTTCTATGGCTGCATATTCTAGGGTTGGAACTACCCAGACCTCGGATTCGAAAACAAAAGCTCCAAAGTTCTAGGTAATGGAGCGATTCACCGAACAGGTTTCCGTACCTTGAATTTTGCAGATAAAGGTTAAGCCGTTGCATTGCAATGTCACCTAACCAGTTAAATGAGTATTGAACTATTCAACCCACCAAACTGCATCTGCCCCATTGTTCAGGGGTTGCTTGGGGGGGGGGGGTTTAATACTGCTTGCCAAATATCTTTTTATTTACAGTGCTTAGTGCTAGTTCACATCTTCATGTTGCATTGCATACACTTTCACATGCATTTAATGTGAATTTTAGAGACCGAAGAGGCGGGCACTACACAGGCAGTAATTTTTTTTTTTTTTTTTTTAACCTTGTATGGATGCAAGCTAATGTTTCTAGGAAATGTAGGTCCCCTTTATCAGGGACTTGCTCCCTTTGGCCTGGTTTTTAATAATGATTCGTACCTGTAAAATTGTTCTTCACGTGAAGTCCTTTCTCCCCTAGCTGCATCTACAGCCACCACGCTAATTATTACAGCTTCCGGATTGTTGAACCCAAAAGCAGCACCTTGGCGGATCATACCAAGGCCCGGCCCAATTTAAAATGTGGGGCTAGCCTCTAATGTTTGATTATGGCACCATGTGGTATAGTAACCACATTGAATGCTGGTATTTTTAATGTGAGTGCACATGTGGTGTTTTTTATGATTGCTATTGCAATAAAAATGAGTGCACTATAGCTTTCTATTTTAATGTTTATTCATGATGGCCAAAATGCATTTGGAGGACTAAAGGGTGCAAAGATCAGAAGCTAGAAGGAGGTGACTTAAGCTATTGTGTACCCACTTATTAAGTTAAGAGGGTCATTGAGGTCTGGTGAGTGCACAAGTTGAGTGTGACCACCAAGAAAGCTTAGGATCTGTGTTTTGGGAAAGAGGTGTTTTGTAATCCGCTACGCACAGTTCGCTGGAGAATATATTGAGATTTGGATGAAGAAACACTCAATTTTTAGAGAGACATTTATTTGTGGTTATATCATTTTAAGTATAAATGACATGTTGGATAGACTTTGATTTCACTTTATGGTTTTTCACTGGATACTTATCACATTAAATAAATTGATCATTTATCACATATAATAAAACCAGAACATGTAAAAAACATAAGAGCACAGTATTTATGTATATAACTGCCTCCCTTCTACTCTACAGCAACAGATTGTAAGTACCCCTTAGGGGATTCCTCACCCTTATGGCAGACAACAGACACAAGGCAAATGGGACAAAGGAGCAGGCCAGTACACACTGTGCACAGGACCATGATGATATATTTTAGGCTTCTGCTGAATACTCTTGCTTCATGGTCGCTGGCTTTGACAGCTTGGCTGTACAAGCCCAAGTTTTGAGTACTTGTGATCTCTCTCCTACTCAGGTTACATCTAAGACGTCGATCTCTTGAAAAGTCTATCATTGGCTTACTTCACATACTTCAGGCACACAAGTTTCACCCTAGATGACACTGTTCTGTCCTTTTTCCTGTCAGGGCTGGATCGGTACTTGGCGTTGTGCATCATCAAGGGTCAGGTTTTGGCCTTGGATATTCTTTTTCAGAGACCTCTGGTAAAGTCCTTTGTTCAGGAGGTGACTTCCATGTGGCCCCCCTTTTGTTCTCATCCCATTGTGGGATCCTAATCTTACCATGTCGGTTCTACAGAAACCTCTCTTTGAACCTATTTGGGATATTCCCTTGGCCAGCCTTGCTCGTAAGGTGGATTTTCTCATGGTTGTCACATCAGTTATCACTAAAGCTTACACATTGAAGAATAGGGGTTCAACATGTCCTGTTAAGGCTCACTCATATAGTTCAGTCAGTACCTCTTGAGCTTTTCCCCAAAAGGCATCTGTTTTCTCCAACTAGTCCTCTGTTTAAGTGTTTACACTTTACCATCCATTTTGTTTATACTTTACCAGATGAATGTTCAGGCATCTGCTGATGCCCGCTTCAGCCATAAGGTGCTTCTAGCTGTTCCTTGAGTTTGCGTATCTGATTCCCTTTTTTGGGCCTATTGGCATTGTGTGTTGGGTCCACCCCTCAGTTGTTTAGCTTGGGGACTTCCCAGGGTCTTAATAAATGAAGCCCGTGTACTGTACTGTATAATTAACGTAATAAAGATGTTTGGCTTACCTGTAAAATCATTTTCTTGGAGTACAATACAGGATGCCCAGTCTGCAATATAATTTTTGCTTTTGTGTTTAATACCACTTTAAACTGCCTGCTGACTACTCCTGCATCTGGGATGTTAGTTATAGGTTGTTTCATTCCAGGTAGGTATCTAGGTCTTTCACTTTTTATGTCATGAGCAATTTAGTAGTATGAAAGCCATGAGTTGGCTGGATTAAAGCCCCAGTGGCAGGTCACGCAGGAGCGAGCATCCATACACTTTCTTCACTAGCCATGCCCCCAAGAGGGCTTGCTTTTAAAGCATTTTTACTCCTTCTTTAAAAAATATTTAAATAGTTCAGTCTAGCCTAGCCACAATTTTACTCTTCGGGCTTTTTCCAAAGGTGTGCTTTACTGGGGGCCTGTGCAGGTCTGTTTTCCTAGCACAGGGATGCACAGGTTCTATGTGTATCCCCATGCTAGCATCCTATTCATCTCCATTGGGACACACAAAAAAGCGGCTGCATGGACACAGCCAATGTGTCCTAATATGACATGTGGGTCCCCGAATGCACCCTGTGTGCGTTCGAGGACCCGCACCCACACACCTGCATGTTATAATAGGATAAATCCAATAATACAGCAGAAGAAAAGTCATTGAAATGTATCTGCTGCTATCTATATAAGGTAACATTATTAATTATTTGCTGTATGTTGGGGAACCTCCTGATCATGAATGCTTTCCATAGCATTGGATTGTTGCACTGTGGGGATAATGCTTGAAGTTGTCTAAAGCCAATTTATTTCCAGTTTTGGATGGAGTGGGGAAGGATCCGAATCTCTGTCAATTTTATGTTGGGAATTCTAGAACTCCTGTAAACCTTTGTATTGCCTGTTAACTTACTGCAAATTTTCCCTCACTTAATGGCTAGAAAAAAGTTGTTACCAGGACAGGTAGTAAGGGGAAATGTCTCTTATCAAAATACAGGAAAGCAGTAAAACCTGACAGGGGTTCTAACCTTTTCCCACGTTATCCCAGTTTAAAAAAAAAAAAAAAAAAAAAAGCTTTGGCTACAGATACACTTTAAGTTCAGTGGAAGTGGGCATTTTTTCAAGTCAGGGTAGAAGTTAAGATCTTTCAGAACAATTTATAAATGTGTCCTTTTACGTTTGTCCAATTAATAAATCCAAATGCATTTTTAGGTGAAGTCTGATAGAGATATCTGCTCTGTCTTCAGACTTAACAAGGGCTATATTATTGTTATCAACTGTAAGCTGCTCCAATGAGAGCTGGGATCTTTACCTGACTGACAAAAATATCCAAGCACTTTTTAGGTGAAGTCAGAGATGCCTGCAGTGTCTTCAGACTTAACTTATTAACAGCTATATAATTTTAATCGACTACTATATATTTCCTCTCAACATACTTGCTCCAATCTCACTAGGCTCCTTTTTACTAAAATAATAAAATGCACTTTCCACTTAAAAATACCTTTTTGAAAAACAAAATTAAAAAGGCTAGGAAGCAAATATTTGATAAGACATGTTGGTTTTTAAATTATTTTATATCACCCTGGCCTCGGGGGGGGGGGCATAGTTTGAATTAGGGACTTTGTATGCAACAGTCCCTGTGACAATTGACTCACAATACAGGTCTGTGTCTTGAGTATTTGCACTGAATAGCATACATTTAATGAATTAAAGGGGTGACTTACTTGTGCATTAATAACTCCCTAGATTAGTTTGATCTGTCCACAGTTAAAATTATTCCTGATGAAAAAATATATGGATTTAGGTGCCATCCTAGCTCAGAAACCACATACTGGATAAAAAAAGACCTTTTTATTGCAAAGCAAAACACTTACTAGTGTTGATAGACCATGCTCTGACTGAAAACTAAGCATTACAGGTAGTCCCCGGGTTACAAACAAGATCGGTTCTGTAGGTTTGTTCTTAAGTTAAATTTGTATGCAAGTGCAAGTTAGAACAGATACTTTACTTCTTTTTTTTTTTTTTTTTTTTTTTTGTGTGTAAGTCCAATAAAAAAAAAAAAAAAAATAATAATAAATTTTTTTGGATAGCATAGGGAAAGGTTAACACCCCTTTAACATTTGTTTTTCTGTGTCCCTGTTTAGAAGATTTCACCTCGGTTTCTGTCCCTGTGACAATTGGATTTTGAAAATTTTGGGTTATTGTGGAAACAAGGATGGTGATAAAGCGTCAACAAAGACACCTTTTTCCCATGATAACTCTTAGAGGAGTGAATTTTCCTTCCTATGGTAGGTTTCATCTTGCTTCCTCTTGCCTCCCTCCATTACAAAAGCTTCTGCTGTAATTGAGGTGGGTCCTTTGTTTTTACTGATTTTAAATAAAATACTGACTTGAACCTACAAATGCAGCAGATGCACTTTCAAGATTATCCTTATCTTAAGCTCCAAATCACACAATAGTAGATTTATTGCCATTATTGTAGTTCCCTGTGCTTCAACACCCTGGGACATGGAGAAGCTTCAGCAGTGGATTTAGAATTGTCTCCGCTAAAGAAATGTCTTTTGCTTGGGACATGGAATAAATGAATGCCTGTCTGCCACAGGGTAAGGAATGGCCAATAAGACCAGTTAAATAGGTGAACCCCATTTTATATTCCATAAACCGACAGAAACAAAGTCTTCAGCTGCAGCATGATGAGGATTAAAGTGGCTGTAAAGACTGAAAGTTTTTTACCTTCATGCATTCTATGCATGAAGGTAAAAAAAATCTGTGTGCTTCAGTTCCCCCAGCCCCCTCAATACTTAAATTGAGACTCATTGTGACCCAGTGATGTGACTGACAGCCTCCCGGGTCTGTCTGCCTGTCCCGGGTCTCTGCCTCCTCATTGGCTGAGACAGAAGCTGCAGCCATTGGCTCCCACTGCTGTCAATCACAGCCAGTCAGCCAATGAGGAGAGAAAGGGGACAGGGCCAAGCAGTGGCTATGTGTGTCAATGGACACATGGAGCAGCGGGTGCCCCCATAGCAGCCTGCTTGCTGTGGGGGCACCCAACAGACAGGAGGAGCCAGGAGAGCCTGCGGGGGCCCCGAGAACAGGAAAATCCAGGCTGCTCTGTGTAAAACCACTGCACACAGCAGGTATGTATAGACATGTTTATTTTCCTAAAAAAAAATGTAAAAAAAATTTACCTTTTAGAATCACTATTGTATGCAGTAGCGGTTATGGAAAGAGTTTTATTGGCCAGAAGTTAAAGTAAAGTTTTGTTTTGTTTTGTTTTTTTTAATTTTTTTCAGTTTTGGATTTGGTACAGAAGGATTAAGTTGTAGTTTTTTTTTTTAAGCATCTGTATCACTTTGTGGAAAATTCTCTTTGACAAGGCCTAAGCGGTCCATGAAGCCAACATACTGTACTATGGCATGACAAGTTGCTGACAGATACGCAGTGCAGGCAGCTAGGTGTGCCTGCACCAACCTGCAGAAGGTTTCAGTGCTCCAACTCTACCTAAATGCAATGCAGTTCTAATTGGACAAATCTTTTACACCTTCTGGTAGTGTTGGAGCTTGCCTGCTCCCTCTTGGCCCAATACATTTCTATTATTCTATCCCAATGGTCTCCAAATTGCAGCCCAGAGGCCAAATGTGGCCTTTTGCTTGACTGTATCCAGCCCTTGAGGCACTATTCCTCCCACTGATACGAGTCAGTATTCCTCCCACCGACAACAACAGTGGGGCATAATTCCTTCCCCTGGAACCAAAAATGAGGCACTGTTCCTCCACTAATATCAAAGATGGGGCACTGATTACTCCCACTGATGCCAGGACAATTTCTACCCCCAACTGGCCCATTTTATTTAGAAGGTTTGGAGACCCTGGTCTTGCCTATCACTTGTGTGATACTGCTTTTTGGGCATAAAAGAAACTGTGTGGGACCCCTATCTTCCTATTTGTCAAGTTGGCAAGCAAGTGTGCTAACCTTTGCAAGTTTGCAATCAATTCACATCACATAACTTTCCTTTAGAAACTTAGTTCATTTCAAATTTCCCAAGGCTACAAATTTTAACAAGTTGTGTTATTATAGAAAAACATCCTCAAATTGCAGAAATTATTTTTTTTTCCTGGACAATTTAGCCATATTTTGTACTTTATGTGAAGCAATGTACATTCAAGATTTTGATGAAAGGGAGTTTCACTGTAATTTTAGATAGTTAGAAAAGGTACATTTCTGCAATCATCTTGAAACAACCTTTGCCTTGTGCAGCTAATGGTGCTAAAATCCAAGAATCAAGCTTTAAGGCTAGTTTTATGGAGCAGATAAAGTCTATACTTCTTAGATCCAGATATGCAGCACAGATTATTCCCATTTATTATATAGGCTTCAATATTAAATCATTGGATGTATATTTTGAAGCATTAACCCTTTTTGCTGCCAATCCAATTTTTCATACTTATGATAAAATATACATTATGAAAAATTTACTGAAAATCACAAATACTATATAATTTCTTGAAGTAGTGGAACGGTGAAAGAAAAATTATAGTAGTCCAGATTTTGTATTTTTCACAATATAAATATGCTTACAAAACGTATATTTTCAGTAAAAGAAATACACACAAAGATCATCTAGATATTTTATCTCAAATGTAGAAAACCTAGACAGCATTTTTTAATAAATGCCAAATATACATAGCTTCAAAATCACATGCACTTGCAAAGAACTACAATTCCCAATTTTGTTAAAAAAGGAACACATTAAAACTTTACAACATATTAAACGATGGCCCAAAAATATTCTTTTACTTTTGATTTTTGTGGATACCTAAATGTTTTCATAATGCATGTTTTCTGCATATGTGTTCTAAAGGATTAGTTCACCTTTTGAAAAAAAAAAAAATAATCAATGCACATTTTTTTTGTAGGTAAAAAAGTGCATTTATTATTTATTTATGTTCCCTAAGGAGCCTGCAGAGAATTGCACCCCCAATCAGGAAATTGTGGGTGCAATCTCAGGCTCCTGCAGACTCTCAGTATAGTTGTCTGCTTGTACCTCATACAGGCAGGCAGTTACCCAAGAGCAGGAAGATCAATGGACTACCAGAGAACTTACCAGCGTTCTTGTACTTCATTCATCAAGTACTTGTAGGCATTTATTTACAGGAAACTGAATGAATGATGTGGGCGGAGCCCCACGTGGCCATGCTGTTTTGAAATGTTTACAGTGGGCATCCAGAGAAGTTCCCCCACCCATTGTCATGAGAAGGGAGGAGATGCTGTAGAATAGATGAAACATGTTTTACTCTAAAAAAGGGTGGAACAGGTAACACATTCCAACGGTGAACTTATCCTTTAACTTTGTATATGTGTCTGCGTTTTTTTTTCTTTTCTTTTTGTTATTGAGCTTAGTTACTATCATAAAGGGTCTGACATACCCCCTATGTGATAAGTACATTGGCGGTTACCACTTATCTTTTATGGAGACATTAGGGAGCTAGGGGATCAGCCAATGTAGACCTGGGACTGGGTTGTAAAGGTAAAAGAAAACTTGTTGAAAGGGATGTCTAGCAATAGTGAACATCAAAACATGAAAGGAGATTTTTGTTGAGAAAAAAAACATTCCCCTCTGGGTGATCTATGTATATTGCAAGGATTTAACAAACTGTTGACGATTCCCCCTTTTGTTATTCTGAAGAAATGACTGTTTGTGTCCATGTGTTGAGTGAATCAGTATGGGCGTGGTTTCATAATTATCAGTTGCTGCACCTGCAAGGGTCTAAGGATGAAATTGGCCAGGTCTGCTTTCCTTTAGATGTGATTTAGATCTCACCAAAAATGATATTTTTGTTGCAGGGTATGCCAAAAATCTGACTTGTATCTTAGTGCAGATTTCTGGGAAAATCCGTGAGATAATCACTCAAGTAGGAAATTACATTTTCAGGGGGTGTTCTGTACACCAATTGTGTACAGAACACCTGTAGGTAGCCATATTGCATTACATTTTACAGAAAACTACAGCGTTGCAGATTGCAAAGGAAAGGCCATTTTTCATAACATTCAATTACAGTATGACTTGAGTCACCCTCGTATATGCTGTGTGTGTGGTTTTTTTTTTCTTCTAAATTTGCTAATTTTTTTTTTCCCACGAAAGTGGAGTTACCCTTTAAGCCAAATATTGTAAGTAAATGGAGAATTCAGCATGTTATTGAATAAACTAAGCAAAGTCTGAACTGGTTCTTATCTAACAAAACCCAGTTAGGATGTGCTTGCTGTTTAAGCAAAGAAAATGGAAATTAAATATCAAATGTATTTATTGAATACAGGACGTAGTGGTATAGGCCATGACGAAATGAAGAAAAGAAAAGCAGAGGAAAATCTAGAAAATTACAGGCAGAAGATTTCTATGCAGAAACGAGCAGAAGAACGAGCAGCTGATGATTTCAGGTAGGAGAAAATACTTTGTGCTTGTGACGATATATGCATGCTTGAGTGCCAGAGGCTTCTTAGGTAGAAGGACTAATACCATTAGGGACTTGCATGCAGATATTTTCCACCAAAGATATGTGCTGTTTTGTTTCTAGTGTGGCTTAAAAAGTGGAAGCTATTAACTAGGGCAATATTTAAAAAGGTTGTAAACCCAGATATCAGCCTCCCTAATAAGGGTGGGGCACACCACAAGCCACAGATTTATATACACGAGGAATGTATAAAAATGTATAAAAAATGTGGTGTTTTGTACCTGATTTTGCCCACAGGCTCAAGCACATACCAGACTTGTCACAATCTGCTCTGAAATGCTGAAAGGGAAGGCATGTAAAGCAATGTCACAGGTCAGGAGATGTGTTGTGGCTTATCTCTGCCCCCAACATGGGCCATGCTGTGGTGATATTAAGGACACCAATCACCTGAGAAGTAAGCCATGTATAGTAATACACTGCTTACTTACCTAAACGGGGGTTTACCGATCATAGTCTCCAAGGTCTAAAGAACTGAAGGCTCAACAGGTGATTTCTTGTAGAGGAAAGTTCTGTGTTGAAAAAAATCAGGGAACAGATGGAGAATAGATGTATTTAGGAAGGTTTTGATTGTTTGTTTTTGGGTTTAGAACCACTTTAAAACTCATGTTGCCTTTGACAATAATTCATGTAGGCTGCACTAATTTTCGCAAGCAATGCTTAAGCATCAAAAGAAGAAATTATCTTTTGAATGCACATGAAATTTTTCCAGAGAAAAATGGCATAAATGTATAATCATAAAGCAAATGGCATAGAAGAAGGCTCAGCAATTGGCCTTAAAAATATACAGTCTCTGTCCATGTAATGAAGCCCTAGTGAGGAAGTAACGTCTATTGCAATCAATAACCAGAATTGCACAATCTGTTATATAGCCAGCCCAGTAAACCTTTAGTGATCATGAGGTGGAGGGTGGTGGCGAGCCACACTCTCTGTTTCTTAGGGTGGCCTGAGGCCTCAAATAGAAGTATTGTTTGTAGGTTGATTATTTTTTAAGAAGTCAGGTTATACAAATTGGACATATAAAACACATTGTTCTTCTGATTATTGAGTATTGGTTATTGATTCACAGACATATTTTTTTGCCTAAATTTTCTTGTTTAGAGAGGCCTCCAGCCCTATTTTCAGTGCAATAAAATATACAACCATTTTTTCATGAAATCATGAAACTGTAGGAGGATCCAAATAAACTTATGTAGGATGGTCTTTTTAGCCACCAAAAAGATAAGGAGTTGTTTTCAGCCTTTAGAAATTTGAGTTCTTGGGAAACCTATGCCGATGACTGCCCATTCATGTAATAAAGGTAGATAATTGACTAAATGCAAACTTTCGTAGTGGACCACAGTTGCCTAAAATTACTTGATCTTGGAATGGGTTCAAAATGCTTTGGTAAAAGCCTGCATCCGAGTGGCAACATTTCAACGAAGAAGAGAAGGAGCTTAGACCCATGAGGTTGGAACAATGTGGAGATATATAATATTAGAGTGATGGTAAAATCAAAGCATCATTTCTGAATACATTATGGCCTTGATGGATCTCCAGGACAAACAGAGAGATTGCAAAAGGGTGTTTGTAAGAAAAAATCAGGAAAGGCACAAGTCCACTTTGTAAGCCCATTCTCAGTCTGAGAGTAGTTTTAGGGGTTCCTTGAGAAAAAAAAGCATAGAAAATAGCATAGAAATTGCATGGCGATCATGGTTTGGAATATTGCAAAAGGGTAGCCAGTGGGTTTATCCAGCCCTTGTGGAACAAGTTTTTAAGGCTCCATGCACACTGGGCGTTTTAATAACGCTGGTAACGTTAGCTGTGTAAAGTCACATTAAAACATGAGTTTTTCAGTGTTTTTGTATTCGCGTTTAGCTGCATTTTTTCATGTCTTTTTTAGAGTTTTTTTTAACCAAGAAAACCATTTTTTATTTAGTCAAAAAAACATCCAAAAACGCTGGTTTACTGCGTTTTACCGCGTTTTTTCAGTATTAAAGCATTTTTACAGCTAAAACACTGCTCTAGAAACCCACTAGTCCAGGGGTTTTTTTCCTGCCAAAAAACGTTTACAGTCTGTGTGCATGGACACATAGGATAACATGCTGGGGAGTTTACTGGCTTTAGAAAATAACATCAAAAGCCAAAAACAGCAGCTGTAAAAACTTCCAGTGTGCTTGAAGACTAATTGTTGCAGTAATGTAAGATTTCCCTTTTAAAAAAAACAAAGGGCTTGTTGAATAAAAATGGAATCTTTTTTTTTTTTTTTTTCTTGAGTGGCTGCAGAAGAGGGGGTTGCGTGGTGGTCACGTTCACTAAGATTTTAATGTATGGATGTCTGCACTCTGTCATGATTTGAGAGCAGACATTTCTGTGGATTCTAATAAGACAGGGCTTTGCCAAAGTTGGAGAAAGAGAGAGGTATGACTGTTTAAGAGATGCTTACCAATTCCGTGCCAGACAAGCCATGCAGTATACAAGAGAGGATTCAAAGACCTCTCTGGATATAAAGGCTCCTTTTGAAAGTGGATAAGCATAGACTAAATTAGCATGTGGTAACATATTTTGATCAAGAGAAGATTCCATTAACAGTGATATACTATGAATCCATTCTCTTGTATACTGTATCTCGCAAGTCAAACCAAATTTATGCAATTTAAGACCAGGCAAATATTCCACCATTGATTGGGTGGTGCTGTGAGGTAAAAAAAAAAAAAAATTGTCAATCTGATTCAACCCTAATTGAACTCACGGAACACCTCACCCGTAAAGGCTTTTAAGGTCAGTATCTTTCAAAAGAATAGAGAGGGTTTGTAACAAGTTTAGGGGGAAAAAAAACACCGTAAAACTAGTCCTAACCGTGTATGATACGTTAAAGTGGTTGTAAAACTGAGACATGAAATATGATCAAAGGATATCCTTCTATAGTGTGTGCTTGTCTCAAAAAAGAGCACTAAGTGTCTTTTCTGTCTGCTGCTTTGTTCCTCTGCTATAAGCATAAATCACGTCTGATAGGTTTTCCTCACAATAATAGAAAAATGGTAACCCAGGAGGGGCCTTCTAGTAGATATTCAGCTTCAGCTCTGTTCCTGTGAGCTTTGTGGAGGGGTATGTCACTTTTTTCCAATCAGCTCTCACGAAGATCTGCAGAGTGTAACTTCAGCTCTATGCCCCCTTTTTTTCTGAACTCTTAGAAAAGCTTTATAAAGTCAGTACCTTGACAATTTATAGAGAAGTGAAGACTGCAGATACACAGGCACAACTTAAAGCAGAGTTCCACCCAGAAGGGAAAATTCCGCTTTAACGTTCCCTGTTCCCCATTAAGGATTGGCACCTTGGGGGAGCGGGTACCCGAATTTGACAAGTGGCTGCTCCCACTTCCGCTGTGATCTCCTAGGCGATCAGAAGCGGAAGTTGTCCTCCCTCCCCATAGTCTTCTGGGACATGTGACAGGTCCCAGAAGACTAAGGGAACATTCAAAAAGCGCAGCGCTTCTCGCGCATGCGTAGTTAGCACCCGGTTGTGAAGCCACAAGCTGTCACAGCCGGGTGCCCACAGTAAAGATGCCGGCGCCAGGGAGAGAAGACGGCCGGTGAAACCAGCAATGGGGAGGACACCGCTGGACCGAGGGACAGGTAAGTGGCTGTATTTTAAAAGTTAGCAGCTACAGCTTTTGTAGCAGCTGACTTTTTTTTTTTCCCAGCTATAACCCCTTGACGCCGGCATCACACCAATATGTGGCCTAACAGAACTGGGCTTTTTTCCGTGGGGGCCGCATACTTGCGTATCTGTCTTTGTGCTGGGAGCGTGCCGCACACGCGCTCCCAGCACAACGACCGGGGTGTCACTGAGAGCCCCGGGTCCCATTCTAACAATCGGCTATCACAATGATCAGTCACTGTATAGCCTGCCCCCCCCCCCCCCGTTCTTTTTTCTCTATGAATGGAGGAGAGAGATGCATTGTATTGCTCTAACTCCTGGCATAGAGGAAAAAAAATGTTTGTTTGAAAAAAAAAAGAAAAGATAAATAATAGAAAATAAAAGAAAAAAATACAAAGTTTGATCTAGTTCATTGCCAGGGTAAGTGTTTGGGTCAGGGTCAAAGGTCAGGAATTTATGTATTTTTTTAATTGGTGTCTGTGTGTTTTAGATAAAACAGAATGCGCACTATTGTTTCTGGGCTGTGCTATGGGTACAAACAAAAAATAACATACACATATATGGTATCGCTGCGATCATCAAGAGCTGGAAAATGTATTTTGTGTTGTTCTTTGGTGATAGGTTATTGTAGTAACAAGAAACACACAGCTAAATTAAAAAACTAATTTTTTTTTTTACTATTTTGGGCCAGTTTTCCTTTGATAATAAAAAAAAATCAGGAGATATCCATTACCATTTACCACCAAATGAAAGCCCAATTTGTCCTGAAAAAAAAAAAAGTTATAATCCACCTGGATGTACAAAGTAGTTGTGATGGTATGTACAGTTTTACTAACACATGTCAACGTTGGAAATTGTGCTTAGGTATTAAGATTTGTTTTACCCTTAGGCGTGAAGAGGTTAAGTAGGGAGATTTGTTTCATCTGTGTATCCCGAGGCCAGTCACTTCACTAGACTTCTTTATGCTGCCTTTGTGTGCCCTACAAAATTGACCAATAATTGGGCATGGGTTGTTTGTCCTTTTTCTCTCTTTCTTGCTGCACAATGTTCTCTGAATTGTAAAATTGTCATGCTGTTCTGTAGCTGCTGAAGGTTTTACCCCCTTCATGACTAGACCATTTTTTTGCTATACCGCCTTGCGCTACTTTAACCGGTAATTGCGCATGCAGCGCCTTACCCGAAATAAATTTATATAATTTTTTCACACAAATTGAGCTTTCTTTTGGTGGTATTTGATCATCCACTGGGTTTTTCATTTTTTGGAGATAATAAAAGACTGAAAATTTGGAAAAAA